TTCGGCCTGGTATTCGTATGTTAACTGTTTGAATACAGACTCATCATTGCATTGATATACGGATCGGGTGTACACTTCCGGTTCAGCAATGGGGGTAAATGCTGTACACAAATATATGCAATTATTTCACATTTCTACACAATATTCTAGAGTTTTATTATCAATTTCTTACCGACATTTTGCACGTGTTTAGGAATGACTGGAAAAATTAAAACATTTTTAAATATACGTGAAAGCTAACTTATAAAAAAAACTAAAATACCTGTGCATTTTAATTCTGGTTTTGGCTTATTTTCCCAATGAGGGGACGGTATCTCCCAGTCGTTTATCTCCGGATTTTCTGGTTTTGGTGGAGGTTTCCAGTGGTGTTCTGTAGGCTTAAAGTCATGGGGCGGTCCCTCCCAATCAGAGGTATTTGGAGGTGGTTTATGGTCTGGAAGTGGTAGTGGTGGTAGTTGTGGTTGTTCCCATTGATGGGGTGGGTGTGGTTTATGGACAGGTGGTGACGGTTGCTCCCATTGAGGTGATGGATGGGGTTTGTGGACAGGTAGTGGCTTTGGGTGTGGTTTGTGGACAGGTGGTCTGTGTGGGTATGGCCGGTGTGGGGGTTTCCATTGTTGGGGCGGTTTGTGGTGAGGGGTTTCCGGTTCATCCGCTGGTAGTTCTGGTAAAATGATATGTATTTCCTCCCAATTTTGTTCGGGTTTTACAGGCTTTTCGGGCTCTGGTTTATAAATTGGCTCGTATTCAGACTCGGGCTCCACCTCTGGTTCGGGCTCATACTCGGGCTCATACTCGGGCTCATACTCGGGCTCATACTCGGGCTCGGGTTCATCTTCAGGCTCGGGTTCATCTTCAGGCTCAGGTTTATCTTCAGGCTCAGGCTCATCCTCTGGCTCCACCTCGGGTTCAACTTCTGGCTCGTACTCAGGCTCGGGCTCGTCCTCGGGTTCTACTTCTGGTTCGGGTTCGTCTTCTGGCTCCGGCTCATCCTCGGGCTCTACCTCTGGCTCTACCTCTGGCTCGGGCTCATACTCGGGCTCGGGTTCGTCTTCGGGTTCGTCTTCTGGCTCCGGCTCATCCTCGGGCTCTACCTCTGGCTCGGGCTCATACTCGGGCTCGGGTTCGTCTTCGGGTTCTGCCTCTGGTTCGGGCTCATCCTCCGGCTCTACTTCAGGTTCCGGCTCATCCTCGGACTCTATTTCAGGCTCCGGTTCGTACTCTGGTTCGGGTTCATACTCGGGCTCCGGTTCAACTTCAGGCTCTGTCTCGGGTTCTGACTCCGGTTCGGGCTCTATCTCTGGCTCTACCTCTGGCTCTACCTCTGGCTCTACCTCTGGCTCTACCTCTGGCTCTACCTCTGGCTCGGGCTCATACTCAGGCTCGGGTTCGTCTTCGGGTTCGTCTTCGGGTTCTGCCTCTGGCTCGACCTCTGGCTCTACCTCTGGCTCGACCTCAGGTTCCCACTCGGGGTGGGGTTTGTGTTCCACTTCAGGTTTAGGTATGTGTTGGGGTTTATGGTGGTTATGTATCCAAAGTGATTCCACGCCTTGTTTATCTTTTAATTTTGAATTGTCATTATTATCCTGGGCACTTAACTGGACAATGAATACAAATAAAGCACATACGACTAATTTAAATGACATTATTGGTCATAAAACGTATGTAAAAACTCATAACTTTTTATCATATATTCGGCGATCAATTGAATAAATGTCGAAAAGCAATGCAATTCTGATGAAAACATATTTTACATGTCATTAATTCTGTGCCCTATTTTTGGTATATAGTACATTATGAGCTAGAATATATTAATGGGATTATTGAATCGGAAGTATTTTTGATTTTATTATATTTAATTGCGAAAAGTGTGTAATGTACCATAAATGCGATATATTACATAATACAAAATTATTAAATTTTAAAATTAAATTATATTTTTCAAAGCTTTAAGAATGTTAGCTTATTACTATGTATCAGTGTAATTTATTGTCAACATTGTCTATGTAATAAATTANATTACATAATACAAAATTATTAAATTTTAAAATTAAATTATATTTTTCAAAGCTTTAAGAATGTTAGCTTATTACTATGTATCAGTGTAATTTATTGTCAACATTGTCTATGTAATAAATTATGATTTAACTATGATTTTTGTCAGATTGTGTTGATGCAAACTGTATAAAATAGTAAGATATAATATATTATTTACTCAGTATATTAGTATTATATAACACTGGTCACTTCATGTGTAATATTTGGTTGATTTATATTTGGTGTGTTATTGGGCTCCGAGACATACGTGGCATCAATTGTCTCGATTTCATTGGATTTTTGCTGATAATATCAATTCATATGAATATTAAAAATATAAATTACTGTACAAATTACAATACCTTATTGTGGGCGCAACAACCGGGAAATATATATTTGACAATCGGTGACATCAGCTTTGTATCGAGGGTTTTGATTTGTTTACCTGATACATTTTTAAATACAAAAATTAATATAATTTTATATTTCATATTAATATATAAAACTGTTAAAATATATTTCATATTATATCACGCATTGTATTGCAACCTATATTTAAGTCCTGCATGGATAGGGTGATTCACAAGTCTATAGTGGGTGTGTGGGAAATAACCTTGCTTAGTAACATTATTAATAAATATCCACACACCCACTATAGACTTGTGAATCACCCTATCCATGCAGGACTTAAATATAGGTTGTAATTCAATGACATCACGTATTACGACAAACCTATGCATAGACTGGCCAACACTGAGACCACAATACATATCGTGAATCCAATTGTTGATAACAATAGGTATGAGATGTGAAAAAATTTACCCAAACCTCTGAAAACAAATTTATTTTGCATATAATTTCGTGAAGTATTGTATTGAGACATACTCCACGTTATCATAGGACGGAATGTACGTAGAGTTGGGGAGTGTTTCAAATCGGGTGAACACACTTTGGATGACATCCACGGGACAGTTGTCTAGAGTAGTCGGTAACGACACCTTCGGTCGCGGCATAACCAACGAACCGATGGCTAGGACTGAGTTAACGCCATATCCACACAGAAATCCTATTAATGCGCCCTTTATTACACAAATAATCATAAAATAAATATCCTATTATGACAGAGTACTGTATATGTTTTGCCTACCGGTGCGGTGGCGTACGGATAGAATATGCCGACAAGATATAAGGCAAATATAGGGCCTCCCATTGCGCCGCTTATAGCCATTGCCGCCTGCATTACTGTCCCGGCTTTTCCCACGAGAAACGCAAATCCAATGATTATAAGTCCGTACGACATGGCTGTCCTCATGATATACAATATAACCATTGATACCGGTATTTACTAATAAATCACGTATTATACCAATTAGTTTAGAGATAAGGAGTGCCTGGCTTTCATTTTTGAGTTTCACGCGATCCTTAATGAGGTCCTCCCAAGTGATGGCCGCCAATGAATTATAACCCGACGATAGGGTGCTTTCAAGTACATTGCAATTAATTAACTTTAGATTTTTATTAACACAACATACCTGAGCGCCCCACTAAACGCACATGCCACAAAAAGGCCCGGTAGTCCCGGGTATTGAGATAGAGTGTCCATAACATAATACGGCATGAGTTGGTCGTGCCTTTTTATCAAATCCAAGGTAACAGGGTCACACGCGTGGTATTTGGCGTATATTACCATGCCACACATTATGGACATCACTATGAATACTATGAGCCCCGGGAGGTTCCAATACAACGCCCTATTTGTTGTATTTTATACAATTAATACAAGAGTTTGATTGATTTAACAAATACCTTACTATACATACCGCCGTCCCTTTTGTGGTGAACCCACATTACAATAGCGTTGTATCTGTTGTTGTGATATACAGTAGGCTCCCGACCAGTTAACGGTCGTCCCAATCAATACATTCCAGAAGTTGTCGTGATTATAGACATCTACCTTCATACTATAAATATAATAATTATAAATAAATATGAAATATACCATATAAAGTTAGAGGTTGATATAAATTTATTTAAATACACTTAAAATTTTGATACTTAAAAAACTTGAGTCGACCACCTCGCTCATTTATGTCCCACAACTCCTTCAGACCACCCATTTCTATGATACCCTGTATTTGAAGTTCTTAAGATTAATTTGTCAACTAATTAATAGTTTGATTTTTAAAATTACTGTTACGATAACCACAAGCACTCCCAAAATCATGAGTGAACCCTGCAATACATCCGTCCAAATGACCGCTTTTATGCCTCCCTTTCCAATAGTTTACGAATTATGTTATATTCCGTTAAATCATTTATTTATAAAATAACTCACAATAGTTGTATAGAAAGTGCATATAATTCCCACTAAAAGTATAGACATCGGTATTGACAGAGGTGTCACTGAGAAACATAAAGTTTTATTTTTTTAAAATTTGTTAATCATTAAAATTATCAAAAACCTGCACTGAGTGCCACTGCCGGCCCATACAATACAGTCGCCAAATAAGGGATCTAAATACAGTACATATAAAAACTTATGTTATTACTAGATAAATATGATTATACAAATGAATTAGTTACATATTTAAACGTTAACCCCATTGTACCGGCTAAGCGCATATAGTCGGCGTCAAATCGTTTTCCTAAATACTAGACTCGCAATAATTATGCTTGTTCAATATTTTAATTTTGTATCTCAAACCTCATTAACACTTATGAATCCCATTGAATAATAAATGGGTACAAAAACTTCAGCCGTCAATACAATGGCTATAATACATGAAACTGCTGTCAGCCACACTTGAGTGCCCACTTGGTATACCTCAGCCGGCATTCCCAGCAGTGTATTAGTGGACATAAAGGTGGCCGCCATAGACATTATGACCGGGATGAGACTGAGTTGCCGGTTACCGATCAAGTACTCGGCATTTGTGGCTGTATTTCGCGATTTGTACCAAAAGTATACTCCGATTAGTGATGAGGCGATCAAAAGCGACACAAACACTAAATAGTCTACGATTGAGAAGTTTGTGTCCAACATATTAACACACTATTTGTTTTTTGTTAAGTCACAAAAAATTATATATACATTTAGGTTTTAAATACTAGTAATTTAAAATACAATTATTATAGCTTTGTTTGCTGTTCAATCACATAAACAAATTGTTTGATCAAAAAATGTGTTTTATGTTTTGTAAATGTTTAAAAAATATATTATTTATTTAATCGTAATCTATTCGCTTCTTTAATAAACATTATTAACAATCAAGGTTAATCTATAAATACCAAATTTATATTTTTCCTGTTCAATCTAGATATGATTTATGTAGTGTTAATCTTGTTTAATAAAAATCGTTTTATACTTTTTCATTGATCATTATTTTTGTCAAATATTATTCATAAGGGGTGATTCACAAAGTACGTACGCACGCCTAGGGGGGGGGTCATGCCAAAAACGTATGAAAGCGTATGTTATATTGGGGAGGGGGGTCAATTTTCGGCCTAATTTTTGCGTACGTACTTTATGAATGATCCCTTAAATGTATAAAATTATTTTTAATCAAAAAGTATTTCATTCATTTATTTCAACTAAATAATAAATATCATAATTTACTTATAAAAATATAAATACTTATTTCAATTTAGTTTTTACATGCTAGTACAATATAACAATTTTCATCAATCATGATTATATAAGTTAATTAAATGAAATTTATTTGTTTTAAAACCAATCAAACTACATATAAGTATTTGCGATTTGCATGTCTATGTAAATATAACTCAAGAAAATGAATGTTTGAAATGATATTAATGATTGTTTTAATTAGCTTTTCATTTCTCTTTATATTATTTACAAAATAATTTATATTAATAAATGCCTAAACCCTGGTCACTTTATGTGTAATATTTGGTGTTTCCTTTTGATCCGAAATATTCGTGGCATCTATTGTCTCGATTTCATTGGATTTTTGCTAATAATATAAATTCATAGAAATATTAAAAATATAAATTACTGTACAAATTACAATACCATAGATTGGGCGCCAATACCGGGAAATATATATTTAACGATCGGTGACATCAGCTTTGTATCGAGGGTTTTGATTTGTTTACCTGATACATTTTCAAAAACAACTATTTAGCTTAATTTAATATTTAATACTTTATATATGTGAAGCATTACCGGTAAATCAAATAATTAATTTCAACTTTGTTTTCATTATTAAATTAGAAATGCATTGAAAAGTAATTTTCAAAAAGAGTTGAAATATATCATTGGATTTGAAGATTTACTTATCATATAAAAGTGGCGCCAAAAGGGTTGACACTCGTTGTATTAAATTAACTATGGGTTAGAATTGAGCTAGATTAAAACAAAATTTTTTGCAACTATTGTTTT